AAAAATATAAAATATTTAGCTATGGTTACTTTTTCAAAATGCTTTTTACTTAGAAACATGTTAAAATATTTTTTATTTTTAATATCAACACATCCAAATGATCTGAAAAATAAAAAAATAACTTGAAATAAAAAAATTAAAAAATTAAAAATTAAAAAAAAAATTAAAATATAAAAATAAAGATAATTTTATAAAACTCAGTTGAAAAAAATATATCAAATCTATTTCATAAAAATGATATTTTAGACTCAATTCTTTAATAAACTCCATATTATAAAACACAATTTAATATATTATCCAATACCTAACCATATTTTTTGTACCGTAAACATAAAAACAGCATAATTGAATATGTACCGTAAACATAAAAACAGCATAATTGGATTTGCTTTTGATCTTCTCCATGGATGGCAATGGCCGTAACCGCCATTAAAAGTGAAGAGAACAACCTCAGATTCATTCCGCAGTAGCAAAATCGTCCCTAACGCGCCATTGTCAGCGACCGACACACCTTCAGAACCACCTCAAGCCCCGTCTGATCACACACTCTTCCACGAATCATTTGGAGCCAAGTATAAGATAATGAGTCAAAAAAATTGATGGACAATATGTCAACCAAGGGAATCTGGGGAATGATGTGAAACCTTGCATAAACAAATGATATCATTTATGAGCTGCCAGCCACAAAATCATATAGTGATGAAGAATGACTCCGAAAGAATAAATTCTTGGGAGCCACTGTTGATCCTCATGTGAGACAATATTGATATCATTTTAAAGATTTTTACCATTTCTATTTTATTTTATTTTATTTTTCCCACCATTTTCTTTTATATAATTCTAGTTTTAGTTGACGAAATGCACCTAAATAGAAAGAAACGAAAAAGGAGGTTAATCAATGAAATAGATAAAATAAAAAGTCAGACATCCAAACAAAGCACAAAATGAAAAATAAAATTACCTCTCGAAAGACGCTAGAAAAGATAGTTTATTACTGGCTGGGACTGCACGTCTTATCTGTCATCCTTTCTTCCTTCGTTTCCTTTTTTAAATGCAATTTAATCTTCAAAATGGTAACAACTTTAAATGCTAACCTATTGTATGTCTTAATCCCCTAGCTGGACCGGCCTTGCCATTAGGAAAATAATAATGACTTTCTGAATGCATCCCTTAAATATTATTTATGTCTATTTCTTGTTAATAGGGCTTTGGCTATTAATAATAATATTTATTATATTGTTTTGAATTATTCGTAAATAAATAATTTTAGGATTCTTAAATTCAGATTTTTAGTTTTTAAAATATCATTTTTTTATATAACTCTTGATAACTTGTAATTATATTATTTCTTTATAGTTAAAAATGTAAATGATATACGGACATTAAATAGTTAGCAGTGTAGGCACGTACGTGTGTGCCACTCACATTTCAACTTGTAAAATATAATATTCTATTTATATTATTTGAACTTTTAAAGTACATTAGAGGAGAAATTTTATTAACACCTACTAATTTCTATTATGATAATATGACATTAGAATGAATATTTTATGTGAAAGAGTTATTTTTTTCTTAATTGCATGTGATGTGAATAGAACTTATAAACAATATAGACATTAATAACAATTCTATGAACTTTTATTCTGATAATTTTTACTTGATATATCTATGGATGTTTATTGAACTTTTGAGATTCACTCTTTATGAGCACCAGCTTATTCTTATAACCCTTTTATTCTTTATAATAACAATTTTTATAATGAATAATGAGAAAATACACTAATAGAAAATTAATAAATATAAATAAAAACATCAACGAGAAAATATACTAATAGAAAATTAATAAATATAAATGAAAACATCAATGGAATTGTTTCATCGATAAATTATATTCAATTTTACCAAAAAAAATATTTTCTTGTTATATCTATCGGTAAACACTAACAAAAATATTTTTAAGTATATACCAAGAGAATTACGATATGAAAATAAGAAATGAAATAAATAAACCAAAAAAATAAGATGACATGTTATTTTTATAGACAAAATTACCGATGGATTTAAAATTGTCATTTAAATCTGTTTGTAAATATATGTAATATCTAATTTATAACCTAACGAGTGACTCTTCTCTCTCATTCCCCCACTTGTTCTCCTTCCTTTATTTTTCTCGGCAACAAACAACACACCTCCCCTTTTATAAAAATATAAACTTTCAACTATAAATTTGGTCAACCTAACACTCAATTTGTTAGTATTACTATTTTGATTCAAATTTTATTAAAGATCACACTTCAAGTAACCAAAACTATTTATTTTTATTTGAATTCAATTTTAAAAAGTCTAATTTTTATTGCATATTTTTTTGTAGTATATGTATTTTTTTTGTGTTTATTTGTTTTATAGTTTTTCTCCCCCATAGAAATTTATTGTATGCATGTATGATTTGTACATGTTAAGGTCTGTTTGAGATTTTATAAAATTGTATTTATTTGCAAATTGATAAAAAATATTTTGAATTTGTGACTTAGGTGTTTTGCGATAAAATAAATAATGACTTTTTAAGTAGGTTTGTTTTATATTTTTTTTAATTTAATTGTTGTGTTGAATTTTTTTGTAAATGTATAGAAATTTGAATTTATGTAGATAATTGATAATGAATTAAGGGTAGTAGTAAAATAGATTGAATAATTTTGAGTTAAACCAATGCTTGCAAATTTATTTAGTTTATGTAATTAATCCTTGCAAATTTATTTATTTTATGTAATTAATTAATATATATTGTCATCAATATTATATATAGGTTTGATATAAGTAATAGATGATCATTCATAGATATATCAAGATTCACTCGAAGGGTTGCGTAAGATGAATTATGATAATGAAGTTTAAGGTTTTATTAATTATACACTATTTAATCCGAGAAATATTAGTGGAGATGGTATTAGATGTTCATATAAGAGATATAAAAATAAAAAGCTTCTTGATCTAGATGTTGTAACATTGCATCTTGTACAAAAAGGATTCATAGAGAGATACATATGTGTTGGTTTGCTCATGGAGAACTATATGTTTCTCACAAAACCATGGTAGAAAGAATGATTAGATCAACTTCTAGTTTTAGCAATACGCATAGAGTTATAGATGACAATAATAATTCATATAGATACTTTCTAATCATGTCTAGATTGCAAAGGCTATTCATGTTATTAGAGACTATTAAGGACATGACATGACATCATTCACATGATGTTGTTGATGGAGTGATGATATATCCTTTTAATGGTGAACATTGAAAATATTTTAATAAGATGCATCCTTAATTTTAAGTGGAGTTAAAGAATATATATATATATATATATATATATATTGGGTTATATGCATATGGATTTTATTTTTTGTGACATCAACATAACAACCTTAAATTTTTTTGATAAGATTAAAAATTTCAATTAGATGTTACAAATGAAAACACATACAGAAATATTAAAAATATTAATATTTAATTGTTCATCGGTAGGTCGTCGATATACCAACTTGGAGTTCAATCAAATGTTTATTGAAATATTTTGGGTTAGAGACATTGAAACCTTTTACCTCTCAATTACATTATTCATTGTGTTCAATTTATATGATATCATTGATGAATTAAATTCATTAGTATATTCCAAAGAGTATTGAAACTTTTTATTTTTTAATTAAACAGTTCATGTTGCCCATTATATATGGTATTACTAATGAAAAAAATTAAGATATTAATTTTTAATAATATTATTAAGTACTTGATAAAAAAGATTAGCAATAGGATTTTATCATGTTGACATTGAAATTGAACCACATTCAAAAAAGACATCCTAGCATCTATTTCAGATATTTTTTCTAACAACTTTAATTTTTATAGCAAAAATCATTGTATAGTTGGTACAATCCTAATAGCAAGAGAATTATTAATAGAATGCATCCTTAATTTTAAATGAAGTCAATAAATATGCATTTTGATTTTGTCAAGATAAATTTTATTCCTGGTGACATCAACATCACAACTTTGAAACATCTGGGGTCAAAGAAATTGGAACTTTTCACCTTTTAATTCTAATGTTTATTATGTTCAATTTACGTAAATGATATCATTGACAGATTAAGTCTATTAATATATTTTAAATAGCATCGAAATTTTTTATTTTTTAATTGAACTTTTCATGTTGTATATTACATATGATATTACTCATAAAAAAATTAAGATATTAAGTTTTAATAATATTATTAAATACTTGATAAAAAAAGATTAGCAATGGGATTTGATCATGTTCACATTGAAAATGAACCACATTCAAAGAAGACATCCTAGCATCTATTTCAGATATTTTTTCTAACAACCTCAACTTTTGCTTAGCGGAAATCATCGTATGGTTGGTACAATCCTAAGAGCCAGAGAATTACTAAACTAGGAGTCAAAATCCCGAAATTCATAAATTTATAAAACAAATCAAAGCCTTAGCTGTATCCATCATTTTGTAGTGTAGTGGTTAATACAAATAATTAATTTTCTCAAGTAAAAAGGAAAAAGGATAAAAAATCCTTCCACAATCCACAATGACCGACAGAAATGCTGGAAGCGTGGGCCCAGTAGGATTAATTTCATGGCACTATAGTCCCAAGATTGAAAACCAGTGCCTGACACATGCTGCACCGTGAGTGCTTTAGGCAGTTTTCACTTTTGTTTCAATTTTTTTTTTTTAAATGTATGAATTTATGTATAAACATATAAATTCCCAACAGTCTACCACATATACTATACATCTTTTTGGGCACAAAATAACATGATGGGTGACATGAAAATGACACCAAGGAGATAAAGTTAGGCAAGTGGGAACTCACCAACTCATTAGAAAATAAAATAAAACGGTAAGTTGACTTTGCGGTGAGTAGTCTCTTTTATTCTTTTACATGCTAGCTATTCTAGAAAAAAGTTTACAAGTCATAGGTGTGGTGGTATCCCCTCTATATAAAGCACCGCTCGATGTGCTTTCTCTTGCCATCACTACAAGTTGCTTATTTGCTTTCACATCTATCAGTATCTGTTAGAATTGTCTTGTTTGATCATTTCGATTCAGCATGGCGGGTTCTCTAAGGCTTCTGGCTCTCCTTCTGGCTCTCTCTTTTGTGCTATCTTCAGTAGCAGTTCCAGCAACTAGTGAGTTTCTAGCTAAGAGGGTTTTGCTTGTTAATTTCATGGTGTTACCGCTTATCTCAAATTATTGATCTTCATTGACTTTGCTTGCTTTCATAGGAAGCCTCAAGTCAAATGACGAAATCCCATCAGAAGTCCAAGATTTACTGCCTCAGGTCCTCCCTCCCTCCCTCTTTCTGTGGGATGTGTTAGTGAGTGGTTTTGAGGATTAAATTGTTGTTTATTAATAGTCCATCAAACATGGAAGTTTTCAGAAGCACCAACAATAATTCAGCATGTAAATGATTGTATTCTTTCCTCGGTTAAGTGATGTGCTTATGTCTTCTTCTTCTTTTTTTAAGAAAAAAAAAAGTTTTTTGAGAAGGGGAATTAACATTTATTTACCATTATGATGGTAACATAAATCAAACCAAAACCACCAAGATTATGGAGGTAAAATGAATGAAAGCAGCATCATGTTGTAGTTGTCAACTGTCGAGCGATAGAATCTTGTGTCTATTTCTTGTCTTCTCACCACCACCCAACTCCTATCATTCCACTCAGAAAGCCCAGTGTTATCTCCCTCGCACAATTCTTTACTTGACGTGCACGATCCTCTCTCTCTCTCTCTGTTGTTTTCATGGAATCTAAACCTTAATTACACAATATTCATGAGGGAGTTTTATTTCTTCTCAGGATGCTGTGATTTCGACTGATGGAGAGATGCTAATTGATGCGGGAGAGGGGTATATTGAAGGGAGGATGGACTTACAAAGCACAGACTACCCGGGAACTGGAGCAAACAATCACCATGATCCGAAAACCCCAGGGAGAGCTTAGAGTAACAAATTTTAAGATTTTATGTTTGTGCATGACGATCGAGAAGAAAGGTGTGGGTGTCGTTGTTGGTGGTTAGCTTGTTTTATGAAGGATATTTGTTTATCCAGAATAAACCCTTAATCCCTTGCTATGAAGGGATCTTTATTTGTGTATAATCTATCTGTAATTCGAAGTTGACGTGCGGTTTCATTTTCTACAAGGGAATGTTCTCTGTATAAAATATGGTTCCTTAACTTTCCTGCTCTTTGTAATTTATTTGTATTTGCTGTTACTCAGTACTAATGTATGCATTATATATATATATAGGATTTCAACTCCTCGTTAAAGCAAAAGCTCCAAAAAGCAACTTTGAGTTCAGGCAACGTAATTAATTTTGCCTGTCGTATCCCATGATCTGTATAATTGGACCCCATCCACGTTGATGCTGTCATTTCTTGTACGAGACCAGAAAAATATGGTAAGAAATTTTACAAAAACCTGAGAACATACAGATTATTTTTTTAAAATTTTTTTAATATTATTTTTTTAAAAAGATAATTGATCTTATTTGACACCCAACCGGTTCTAATACATTTCCTACCAAAAAATCATAACTATGAAGTCATGCTCCTAGTTAGATCGCATTTGCGGTTCATAATTTAGAATGGTAAATTTTAAGGGATCAGTTGCAATTCTAAATCAATTTATATGTCCTTTTAAAGCTTTTCTCAATGCTTAGTTTAGTTATTCTATTTAAAATTTTAATAGTTGATAATTAGTAATATAAAACTTATTCGTAATTTAAATATGAATATGTTAGAGTTCAATAAAAGAGGGGATTATCTCAACTTTCCTTTTAAATCTTCAATATGTCACTCAAGTCTAATCACTGCTAATATTTTCTTATATTTTAAATCATCCTTCAATCTATCAATAGATTTGTCATACAAAATACCAAAGGTGCCCTCTCTTGGAAGGCTCAATCCCCACCTAATTTAAATAATAAATTAGATTATTGAGCTGCTCCAATCAATTTTTTTAATGTACCAAACATCCGAGTGATGTTATATTTAATGTAAAAAAAAAATTAACGTACTTTCAAATAAAAAATTAATTTTAAATTTTAAATATAATGGATATTAAATGATATTTTTTTTAAATATTAACATAGTAATAGATAGTAATATATTAAATGATATTTTTTTAAAATATTAAAATATCAATATATTAGATTGATCCAAGTTAACATGTCAAATCTACAAACTAGATCATTAAACCATGATAACCTAATAGAAAGAAAATAAAGAAATAATTATAAAAGTTAATTCCTAATAAACTCAATATTAAAAAAATAAAAAAAAATAAAAAATACCCAAGTCACATTGAATTAGTCTATCAAACTCGTGATCAAGTTGTAACAAACCCATTTTTATTTTCTACAAAAATTCTGACAAATTTTTTCAATATCTTTTTATATCAAGATATCAACTCAATAATTTTCATAATTTTTAATCAATATATCAAGATCTCATATTTCATTATTATGGCAAACCACATCTTAGTTAATTAGCCACCACATAATTCAAGACACAAATACATATGCAAAATAATAGAATATTTAAGATAAATTATAACAAAATTATAACATACTTAAAATAGATAATTTCTTTTAATTACATCATCCATTATTAATCTATATAAGTAAATATAAGTTTTTATACAAAATTATATTACAACAAAATATACAATCTCCCAATTACATTATTTAATTAGACAAAAAAACATAAGATTATAAAGCTACTAACCGACTAAGTGATGCCATATATATATATATGGCTAAAAATGTCAATCAATGATAATTAAATATTATGAGCTATGTATACATGTGTATAAGTATTCACAACATCTTTTATCAAACAATATATTCTTATTCAAACTCTTATTACTCATTAATCAAGGTACCAATTTCATAACACATGGACTTAGTTTTTCTAATCGTCAATCAACTAGGACATTGATTACATTAACCACAATAGTAGTTTTTTCAATTGCCCATTCATTAGGGTAACAATCTTATTAACTAGAGAATAAGTTTCTTAATCCATCCAGTAATCAGGGCATTAATCATATTAATCAAATATTAGTTTTTTGATCTACTTAGTAATTAAAGCATTAATTCCACTAACCAGATATTAGTTTCTATAATCTATCTTTCATGCTTCTTGATTTAAACCAAGATAAAATTAAAGAAATTTTCAACTATCATTTAAACAATTAATTAGTTTCTTTGAAGGTGTTGAACACTTACCTAACATCTGTATACACAAAATGGTCACTTACTGCTATTTGGGTTCCACAGCCTTTTCTTTACCAAAATAATCAATAAATCACTTAAAGTTCATCTACCATAAAGATCAATCTCATTTTTCACATACATTCTACTGACCGGATATTAGTTTCTCACTTTATGTGTATTGAAACCTCCACATTCTCGTAGTATATATTGTTTATTTCTCTTTCTTTTTTTCATTCAATTTGATTTTTAATCGACATGACTTAATGTGATTTACATATTATTTAATTTAACCAAGTCTAATATTTTTACATATGCTTTTCTAAATTTCTTGTCCATAAAAGGAATAAAATCCCATTTTCAATTTCTAGATCAAGATTTTTTAGGTTTGAAAAGAATAAGGAATTCTTGTCATTTTATTATTTAAAAATATTTAAAGTCGTTACCTAGTATTTTAGTAACTAGAAACCCTAACTAATTGTACATAGTGAGGACAATATCACCCATAATATATTTGACATAAGTTAAGTTGTGTTGTTTATTTATCTGATTATTACTAAGATTATGTTTTGTTTTCTATCTATTTGATTGTCAATTAGTTAAAGTAGATCTATCCCAGTAGAGTGAACCATGACTTTATGAGTCAAGTCTAGCCATTAAAGCCAAAATATATTTTTGTATTTGTTTATTTCAATGTTAGAAATATGTCTTATATATAAGTTCATGATCATTGGTGTTAAAATAAATAAATTGATATTTTTTGTGTGTTTTTGAGATTTAAACCAAGTTTTCATGACATTAATAAACTTGTTATTAAATCTATAATGCATGCAAAATATTAAAAATTATTTTCTTTGATTTTTTTATGCTAAATCATACAATGTATTCTTCTCATATTTTAGTATTTCTTTTCTTTTTTGTACAAAAAATACAAATATGATTTTTTAGAGAAACTTGGTCATATACAACTTAAAACATAGATCAATTTTTTAAAAGAAACATTTTTCTTTAAATTTGTTTATTTCATATCAAAAGAGTGCCTTACATATAAGTCCATTATCCCAAATATTAAATATAAAAGAGTAAAAAATGATATAAAAGACCCAAAATTAATTGCTAAATGGTCTTCTAAAAAACTTTGGAAACTTATTAAAATTAAACTAAGATCATGTTTGAAAAAGCATAAAAAAATAAAATAATTGTGCCAACTATTTTAATTTGGATATCAACTCAATGCTAACTAATCGTTCATCAACTCAATATTAAGCAAAACACAACACAAATGTTGTTAGTTTTATAAACTTCATTCAAATTACATGCTAATTCAAATGAATCCATGCTAATTCAAATGAATAAGTACAAACCCATGCATAATTCATGAATCAAAATTTAATGTTCGATTATCATAAATGCAAGTATAATCCATAAACCAACATTTAATATTGAGTTAGCAATCACAGCTTTAAAAATAAAATTACAATTCAATACAAATTATCAAATCATTAAAAAAACACACATCAATCTAAATCAATAATGTCCAAACAATCTAAAAGTTAAACACAAAAAATAAACATTTTGTCCCAAATTTCATAATATTTTAGCATTAAAAAAAATTAAGGTTATAAATCATGCTAAAAAAGGTGATTACAACAGTGATTATGCATGCATTATGGATCAAATAATTTGATGCTAGTTGGTATTGTAAAAATGAGGTTTGAGTTTTTTTTTATATGTGTTTGTGCTGGGGAGAGAATGTGAGGTATTATGTATTTTGAATTTTTTGCCTTTTGTTTCCTTTCTAACTGATTTCCCTTCTAAGAATGGGATTTTGTTTCACTATTTATAACCAAAATCACATGTAACTTAAATTCATTTTGATCTTTCATTTTTTTCTCTGTATTTTTAGTCTTTTGTCACTTATTATTATTTTTTGTATTTTGTATTTTTTTTTTAAATAACATTAAGGTCAACTTTGTCACGGGTGTCGCGAGGTGCGTGAGCACTAATACGATGTCTTCTGGTGATGGTGGAGACTCTTTGTTGTGCCTTTTGTGTGAGGTATTGTGTGTTGGAAAGGGTTTTAGATTTAATCATAAAATTATGATTAATGTTTAGGAGTCGCCACCTAGTATTATGGTCATTAGGAACCTATGGTTTGTGAGAGTCTAAGTAAGGGACTGGTTGTGCAAGAGAAAGACGCATCACCCCTAGTGCACTCTATCTAAGGTAAGCTGCATTGCTGTTTGATTGTCTTTTCTAAGTTGGGTTTCTATTTGTTGGTCTTTTCTAAAACTCAAGGCAGATCTTTTTTCATGGGAGAGTCTTTACCTTATTGGGTTAAATCCTAGTCGTTCTAAAGTCTAAATTTTTACATCGCATTTGTTTACATCTTATATTTTTAATACCTGAAGGTGTACTTTATAGTATAATTTTACATCTACAAATACTAAAGTCTACATCTAAACCCTAAAAAAAGATTGGAAAAAAATGTTTTTTGATATTTTGGTCAAACTTTAATGGATGATCATTTTGATATTTATTTTTGGATTTTTTAAGGAAAAAAAACATGAAAAAGATGCAATTTTTATTTTTTTATGAAAACCATGCTTAGAAAAATTTTAGGATTTGGCTATAAGCAATAAAATATTTTTTTTTCTTTTTGAAAATGTTTTGAATTTTTTTTGAAATATTTCGAAGAAAACTAGGTATTTTAATACCGAATTTGTATTTTACAGTGTAAATATACAATCTAATATTATACAATATTGGTAGAAAAATATTTGAGAAAATCATAATTTTTTTAAAATGATTTTTGAAAACTTTTGGATTTTTTTAAAATAGTATTATAATATAACATTAAATATATGGATTGGGCCAGCCAAGCTAACTGGGTTGAGCGCATCCCACAAAAGGGTGAACATGTCTTTTGGGGGGGCCGGACCTAGCCTAGAAATTTGGGCTGAGCCAAATCAGGTTCGGCTTACCT